TATTAATAAAAGACATTTCTTTATTATGTTTGTTTTTTCAAAATAATAAAGTCCCTAAAATAGCTAGTTCGTTTAATGAAATATTAAGTGTGACTTAATCATGAGATCCCATTAAGTATAAAGACATTATTCTTAAAGTATTCATAGTCGAGCTTTACTGTAAAGTGAGATAACCTTAAAGCATTAAGACTGTTATGTAAATAGACTGACGATCACATCTCATGGATCAGGAATATGAGTTATCAAGTCTTAACATAGGCATAAGTTTAGGAGTAATATTTATACTGGATTGACCCACTATGAGAGTACTACATAAAATGTTATGCAAAGTGTCATAAGTTACTCTCATGGTGATAGTGGTGTTAACTACCCTTCGAGCTGAAACCATTATGGACCCTAGATGTAGAGTCGAGTACTTTATTACTGATCCAATATTGTCCGTAACTAGATTCCCATAAAGACAGTTGATGGGTACTCCACAAATTATGCTAACGGACATGAGTGACCTAGATGAAATTTGTCCATCCTGCATAATAGGATAAATGTCTAAGAGCCCAATTTGAACTGGACAAGGATGACACAATATATGCCTCATGTTCAATATAGACATAAGGGTAAAAGGGTAATTGTACACATAAGTACTATCATAAAATGTTTCGTTAGATCACATGACATTTTCGTGACTTGGGTAGCAATGACGTGTTGTTAGATACCACCCATTGTTTATTATATTAAATATATGATTTAATATAACTGTCAACGTCATGAAAACCCACAAGGTCACACACATAAGGATAGATTGATGAAAGATAGAATACATAAGGAACACTGTAAGGTACGATGTACTTGAGAGAATTATGGAACACCGTAAGGTACGGTATACTTAAGTGAAATATAGAACATCATATAATATAATAATAAGAATATTATTATTATAGTTATTATAATATAATAATAATAAAATGTGTATTATTATTATTATTATTATTATTATTATTATTATTATTATTATTATTATTATTATTATATGGTTGCAGTCCACGCAAGTGGTTCTATAAATACAACCTTTGTGTAGAAGTTTTAGAACTTGACAAAATTCAGTTCGTGAAACTCTGGCCGTCTCTCTCTCTCTCTCTCTCTCTCTCTCTCTCTCTCTCTCTCTCTCTCTCTCTCTCTCTCTCTCTCTCTCTCTCTCTCTCTCTCTCCCTCTTTCAAAGTCTTCATTTGTAGCAGCTAGCATTGAGGTTGAAGACACTCTGTTCGTGTGGACTAAGTAGAGGCGTTGTTCTTCATTCAACGCTCATGATCATTCATCCGGATCTGCATCAAAATCATTAATCACCACAAGATATAATTGTTTCTATCACTAATCATGTTCATTCGTAAGGATCACTAAAGGAAATTTTCCGATGTGTTTTGGATCGCGATTTCCCTTCACAAACAGTGACAACAACATACAATAGAAATATTTTAAATTATACTTATACCTCAATCACATCTCGGGTACACTTCTTTCGTTCAACCTTAACCAACCTCTCCCAATCCTCCCACACCTCTTGCAACATCCTCTTACGCTCCTCCTACAACATCCTCTTTCGCTCCTCTTGCTCCTTCTGATTTGACTTCTCCCACTCATGTCCTAATACATTCCCTATATTTTAAGCAAATATCTCTTCCTATGGTTTACTTTGCTAATTGGTTGTGATGGTCCAAAATGTAGCTTCAAACGACGCCTCTTCCAAGACTATGAACATGCTAACATATTGCTCAATTCCAATTTCTTCTACCAAGATGTTATGACGGGCTTGTAGAACGAAGCTACCAACTTTGACTTGTTCAACTAGTACATCTGACAACACATTAAATTAACTAAAATTGAAGTAACTAAAATAAGTAATGTTGAAAAAAATATCTTCTTACAATCTTTTCAGACACTTCGCATGTAGCCTCTGATGTGAATGAGTCATCTAGTTGTTGACGCGCCCTCTTCCATTTCTCATGTCGTGATGATGGAGATGAAATGCGATCAGTGCTTCTAGAAGGATCTCCCAACTTTAGTTCCCTCTGTTTTCTTTTTTCATTAACCATTCTTGATTCAAGTTTATCATATCCTCCACAACACAATCTATGTGGATAGATATTTCTAGCTCTATTCTCCTTTCCTTTTTTGATCTTAGCCAAGAATTCAGGAGAGGTGCGAGACTTTACAAAATCCTCACAAGCTTTCTTATTAATAAATGAATACTTCACGTATGGAGGCACTACATTATCTTTTAGTTTTTTAAATATATTCAACAACCAAACTAAATATTTCACACTTGTCTTTTGTGTTTAACTAGAACATAGAAACAACAACAGTAGAAACACACACTTAAGTTCTTGACAAGTGTGTTATTTAAAAGATGAATAGAAAGTTAGACGTTAATTATAAAGATGGATTTTGATGGCAACGTGGCAAACAAAACTTTATAAACTTTGTCTATAGAACACTTATTTTTACTAAGGTTTTTATTGGTTTTCTTAGTAAAGTGATGCTATCACATGCCTTGTTTTTCTTAGTTCGGACTACAACAACTAAACCACAATCGAACTACAACAACTAAAACATCTTACTGGTATTACATTTCAAAACAACTAAACCACAATCGGAATACAAGTTATGATGAAACAAATACGATAACCGTTTGAGTTCTATGAACATTTTAGTGGTATTACATTCCAAACAACATTTCAGTGGTAACTACATTTCTAACAATATTTCAGTGGTATTACCATTTCTATGAGAGCTGGACATTTTAGCGGTGAGTTATGTACCTCAATTGTGATGGCAAAACTTTGACAAGTTTTGAAAAAAAAGATGATGTTCGAGTTAATGTTGGAAGAGTTGACGCTCAAAATATATGATGTTCGGGTTGATGATGGAAAAGTTTTGATGAAATTCGCCTAGGTTTTTTTTGAAGAGAATGACAATGAAGTTAGAGCATTTGTTGATAGGTAAATGAAAAGTTTGAGTCAAGTTCTTTGAAGTATTCATGCAAAAGATCAAACACGCCGATTTTTTAAAAAAATCGAGGTAATACACACACACACAACACACACACACACACACACACACACACACACACACACACACACACACACACACACACACACACACACACACACACACACACATATATATAACACCATATTATGGAAATTCATTTAAATTAACTATCATGTCAGTTTTAAGAAGCTAACTAAACTGTCGCCTTAGGGATTTAGTTTCCTCGGGCAGGATCAGACATGTAAATCTCGCCCGAGAAGTGCGACTGAACTCTTACCTAAAAGACATAGTCTTAAGCCTTGTTTGAGGGCTTGACAAAAGTCCCGCTAGAGAAGGGCCTGTGCCTCACCTAAGGATTTTAGAGTTTTCTCGAGGGGATTAGCCATGTAAATCTCGCTCAAGAAACGTGACTGAAGACTTGCTAAGAGACTCAGTGTTAAGTCTTGTCTGAGAGCTTGATAGAAGTCTAGTATGAGAAGGGTAAACGCCTTGCCTTTAGGAACTTATAGTCTAATTAAGCATGCCATGTATAACTTTGCTTGAGGAACTTAGATTTCCCGGGATAATTAAACTCTCGTCTGAAGGACTTGGAATTTCCTCAGGCGGGATCAAACATGTAAATATTGCCCAAGAAGCGCGACCAAATACTTGCCTAAGAGACTTAGTTTTAAGCCTTGTATGAGGGCTTGATAGAAGTCTCGTTCGAGAAGGGTCAACACTTCGCCTGAGGGACTTACAATCTCATCAGCCATACCATATATAACTTTTCCTAAGGGACTTAGATTTCTCAAACTAATTAAGTTCTTGACCGAGGGACTTTGAGTTTTTTCGGGCAGGATCATACATTGAAATCTCGCCTAGGAGGTGCTAATGAAGTCTTGCATAAGAGACTTAGACTTAAGTCTTGTATGAGAGCTTGATATAAGTCCCGCCCGAGAAGGGTCAACACCTCGCCCGAGGGACTTATATTCTCATCAAACAGGCTATACAACTTGTCTTGAAGAACTTAAAGTTTCCTCGGATGGGACCAAATAATGTAATTTCTCTTAAAAGGTTCCTGATCCTAATAAGCCCATCACATCATAGAGAAACTCAGGGTCTCAAGATACTCCCCAATTACGTATATTAAAAACATTTCGTCCTTTATTAAAGGTCTCGTGCTTTAGGGACCATGTAGTGTTATATTTGTAAGGGATATGTTTAAAGACGATGACTGCAAACCACCCATATGAAAGGTGATGATCAGGTCGTCCTATGGAAAGTACCACACCACCCTTAATGCTTTCCTATTGTCCAGTAATGGGAAACGTATGATAAGACACTTCTAGGGAAGAGAAAAGTTTGAGTTAGCAACGGACTCACAACCTCCTCTAAAATAGGGATTTAATGGTTTACCATTGACTGAGCGATAACTTTTTCAAAGAAAACCCCTGACCTATAAGACCTCTGTAAATACCTTTTCTCCTAAGGGAAGGAAGACAAATCTTAACTACTACAAATCACACTCTACATACATTTATACCACATATACAAAGTCTTTCATCTCATGCGAACAAATCTTCTAAATCACCACAAAAGACTACCATACAATACAAGACTTCACGTTGCTATAAGTACCTCATAACCATATACAAATCCTAAGGTCTATGTGTCACTACCATCGCATTAGCAATACATAACCTTTTACTATTTTAATTTTCAAAGCAAATGCAAAATAATCATTTCGACGATTTAGATATCTTTGGATTAGTGGTATAAGATGACCTAAAATAAACAGAAATGGTAAATCATCACCGGATCGAAAATTTTGTACATGTAGAAGAAACAAAATTTCAGACACTCTGAGACTCTGAATCCGATTCACTCACTCTTCATTCATTCGTACTCTCACCATCAATTTCAATCTCTCTCCTTTTCTCTTATCATCTCGATCACTTTTCTTCTATTGTGAGAAATGGACAAGGTTGTAGAAGAGGTTGAAAAAGTGAAGAAGGAATGGGACGAAGCTTACACCAAAACACAAGATCACATTAAATCAATTCAAGAGTACGGTAAATCAGGAAGATCCAAAGAGGATCAAAACAATTCACTTGCTAGATTGAATGGTATTGCTCAGGATGGTTTAGCGCTTCTCTCTTCTCTGCATTTCAACCTCGATCTTCACGCTCCACAGTTGCCTACTCAACAAGAGGTTGATTCTGCTCGTGAATTGCTTCAGTCATGGAAAACCCTAACTCAAAAGTACTACCCCTCTCTCTTTCTCTAGAATTTTCGATATTTCAAGATTCAAATTGAAAATATCTTCTGTGAATTAATTTTATGAAAATGTGTGACAGAGGTTAATGTGATTGAAAATTTTCAAATTTAAGTGATTATATTGAAATTTTGTTTATTTTAGGAAGCAAGTTGACACTTTCCTAGAATTCCATGACTAAATTGGTGATTCACTTGCTTCAAAATAGTTGGAATAGTCATGAGTTGCGTTTTGTTTGTGTGTTTGAACAGTTTGCGTATGAGTTTGCGGAATGCTAATCTACAAGCCAAGGCTAATTTAAGGAAAGCTGCTCAGGAGGAGGCAATATTCTTACTTGAATACCTTTAATTTAACCTAAACACTGTGTTTCCGGTTTGATTTTTTGCTTATTGTGACATCATCTTCTAATCATCGAACGTGAACCTATTAGTGATATTGTTGTTGTGTGTGTGTTTTGTGTCTGTTTAAATTGATTAATGATGGGTTGGAGAGTGCAATGTGACTGATTCTGTTTCTATATGATGCAGAGAGAACTACTTCTAGGTGGTGGAGAAGAGTCCACAGTCCGCAGACGCAATTTGCAGTATGTCATTGAACTTGCTTCGATTTTCAGCTTGGGTTAACTTGTTCGACCAGTTTTATTTGTTTATTTAGTGCCATTTCATTGGAAATTTTATTTGGGCTTGGCATGATATTGGGGTGAAGTAGTTTAATTCTCAAATCTGTCTTCTTCGTCCAGGACAAAAGTTGGAATGACCTCTGCAGCAGAAAGCATCACAGAAAGCCTACGTCGTACTCGTCAATTGATGGTTCAGGTTAGTGGTTAGGTTAGGTATCTTTCTTTCTAAACCTTAGTTTGATCATGTTTCTGTATTGTGATATTTTTCTCCATCATTATTTCATAAATGCTTTTTCCTTCATAAAAATGGATTAATTAGTGTACTCTTTGTATCTATGTGTTAATCAGGAAGTTGAAAGAAACACAAGCACACTTATGACTCTTGGTAGGTATATTTTTCTCCTTCTCTCTTTTCTATATTAATGATGTTTGTTATATCTTTCTCCATCTAGTTTATAATTTATACAGGCATACACTATATTTTCTTTTTGGTAAATATGAAATTCATATCAAGAAAATTTCATAAAATAATCTTAAGCTGGGCTATATAAGTGTGCATAGGGATTGCCGTCTTATGTGAAAGGGTTTGCACTAAAAAGGGTTTGCTTAGGGATTGACATCTTTTCTGATGATGCTCCCTAGCTTCTTCTTTTTTCCTTTCTTTTGGATTCTCCCTCCAAACGATTAATGAGAACTTATTTTTCAACCATAGCAAGATCTTAGAATACAGTTTAGCCAGTCTGACAAGTCCTGAAAGCATTAATAGAAAAACACTTTAATATTTTAATACCATATATGCTACAAATTCCATTAAACCCATAAATTAATCATTTATTTCCTAATTAATTTGCTTTCATTATGATTCTTCTTCTTCTAATTCCATAAACCCCATGTATTACATACGGAAATTGGGAATCTATTTATCATTGTTAAATGGGATTCTATTAAAGTGATGAGTTTTCACAATATTCACTGGTATATCATTTCTATCCACGTGAACAAAGTGATTGTATTCTATACATGGAAAGTGATTGTATTCAAGTCTTCAATCCATTCAGCCAATAATTTATATGTTGTGGTTTTGATGCGTTTTTTACACTTGCTTGAAGACTACACTGTAAATGCGATCTAATGCATAATTAATTCAAGTGGCCAATTAAGAATCATCATACCAAATCATCATATTGGATAGTTTACGTATTGAAGCTGACTATTGAAGACAAAATAAAGTGGACTCGTGTTTGCAGCTTGTTAACCTTTTATTGCATGAATCATGTTTGAACTTGTTCAGATTTATAAAGTTACCTTTAAGGTTGGCTGGGTCTTAAAATTCATAAATTTGAAGCAGATCTCCAAATTAGGAAGGGTCTCTGAAATAATTAAGGCATTGCAAACAAAATAAACTGACCAGTTTGTTTTTGGGAAGGCAACTGACCAGCTACCTTTAGGTACTTGATCGGGATTTGGGTTAGCTAACAGGGCTGAGAGTTAAAAGGAAAGAAATGGGAGGGCATATGACATCCAATATTGGCTGTGATATCCAAGGACAAATCTCTCATTTTGTATCTTTTACCCTGTCTTAGTTTGGATTCCCAATTTATATGTGCTTTGAGAATTAAGGCCCAGCAATAAAAAACAATTTGCCATTTTCCTTTTCTAGTTCATATCCACTAGTATCAGAGGTCCATCCAAGAGCTGTAGGTAAATCATTGGGAGAAATGCATGGTCTGTGCAAAAATGGAGTCATGATTTGAGTCATTCGAGAGGACAATAGAAGCTTTTAATTGCAAAAGAGAAGTACAAGAGAGGAAGCGTGAATTGCAAGATGCAAGACCCAATAAATTGGAGATGATGGAGAACCATAATCTATTGGGGAGTGGATGTTCAGGTCAAGGAGAAAGGTTCAGAAATTTGGCGACAAAAGAGGAACCAGTCGAATCAGAAGGGCAATGAACCAGATCCGGCGAAGTTAGAAATATTGGTATTATCTGGAGATAATGTAACCCTGTGTCAGTACACTTTTCAATGTACCTGTTCTTTTGAAACAAAATTATCGAATTTCAAAAAAATTATTAAGCGGAAGCATTAGCTTGACTGAAAAAGTTGGGCTGCATTTTGTTTCATACTATGCAGTACTTGAAGGTTACAACTATTCCGTCTAAGATTGAGGTGAATCAGTTGACATAATAGTGAGATGAATTAATTGCAAGATTTAGAAGCAATGTAATCAAGTTTCAAAGATCAGTTGAGAGCCCGTGCCAACAGACATAAGAGGGCAGTGGGATAGGAAAGTTGAGTTTTTCTCAAGCTATACCCTTGCAAACATAGGTTGTTGTCTAAGCACCTAATAAAAAACTAAGCGACCATTTCTATGGCTCTTATCAAGTCCTTGAGAGGGTGGAACAGATTGCACACAAGCTGGAGTAGTCAGATCACAGCCAGAATCCATCCAGCATTTCATGTTTATTTGCTAAAGAAGCAGTGACATGACAGCCACCCCAGCCTCTACCCACTGTAATCAAACTCCTTATGGTAATCGGAGCTTTGATTAAATGGGTTCACTACCTGATTGGGTGAACATCGGGAAGACTGCACTCAGTATTTAAGGAACATTTTTTTACGTCTTGGAGACTATATTTTTCGAAAGAAATCCTAGCCTAGCCTCTGAAGTAGTTTAGGCATTGCTGACAGAACAGACTAACTACTGTTTAGTACTTAGGACTTGGGATAGTTGACAAAGGATAGAAATGAAGAATTGAAATGGGAGAGATAACATTGGAAATTTAATCTTGGTCGTGTGTAGTCCATCCTCTCCAAATATCCACAAACAATTTTTCACCTTGTCTCTTCTATTCAGTCTTAGTTCTTGTTGTCAAAATTGTGATTAAACATGTAGGACCGGACAATACGCATTTAATGCAGACATGCAGTTAACAAATCCCATGACACCTGAAATCTCCTTTTTGTGTAAATGTAAAAATGTTTTTTGTTCACTATTTCTACTGGTATGCTTGTTGAAATATTAGTTGAATTATTTATATTACTACTGTCTTGATGAATTGAGGTGCTGATATTCTTTTCATCAATATGATTATGATTATGAGGAGTATGAAATGATCTTATTCTCTCTATTTGTTTTGCAAATTGCTTGGATATATAGATGAATCAACAGGAGTGTTAACAAAGGCTGAAGGTGAATATAAAGGGCACCGCTCATTGTTGATGAGAACTAGAAATCTTCTCTCCACAATGCAACGTCAAGATATTATAGACAGGTATGGAAAAAATTGACTCTTCACTGAATCTCACCATGGTCGAAGTTTGGTAGCATGAGGTTGTCATTTCTTACTGTGCACTCACTCGTTTGGTCTTTTTCTAATCCTAACAATCAACTTGTATATGAACAGGGTGATACTTGGGGTTGGTTTTTTATTGTTCTCCCTTGCCGTTCTTTATGTTGTTTCCAAGCGTATTGGAATACTTGCCTTACAGAGAAAAGTTACCGGGGCCATAAAAGCTGGTATGATGGGGCATGCGGAGCTGAGACCACAAGCTGTTGCAGAGGACATGAATCTTCATCAAATCAGAGTTGATCATGTTCATAATATAGGTGCTCCTCCTTTAGAACAACAAATACGTGATGAGCTTTGATATCTTAGAAATGGCGTCGTTTTGTAAGTGTGTATACATTAAGAGAGATCATATACATTCACACACAACTTTAGCATCCTTCTAGTAATATTTAAAATGAAAGTAAATGTATCATCTTGAGAGTTGAAAAGCCATGTGTGTGGCACCTTTTTAATTAGAAGGTAATTAATAGGACTATTAAGGTGCTTTATGAGGTCGATATTGAACCTTTTATTTTTGCTGTAGTTATTTTAGTTTGGGCTAGAGGTCTTTCAGAATGAGGAAAAGAGATCTCATACTTGATTATTGACATAGTGAAAATGTTTATAAAGAAACTTCGGGAAATAACTTCTTGCCCTTTGGTTGCTCTTTCATTTTGCCACTTGTTTTCAAGGACTCTCGGACTCATCAACTATAGAGCTGAAACATGGAATTTGATATAACATTCAGAGTGGGGGTGATGCATTGTATGTATGCGCTTCACTGTGCACATTGGACTCATCAACTATAGTGCTGAAACATGGAATTTGATAAAACTTTCAGAGTGGGAGATGCATTGAATGTATGCACTTCACTGTGCACATTGCTCGCGCTTGGTGATAATTAGATCACTTACAGAGCTGGATTAGATAAGATTCTCAATAAGCACTTATAAAATTGATTAAAAAACATTGCAGTAGTTGATTTTTTTCATATAATCTGAGTACTAATTAAACCTGGCAAAATGGAGATAAAGTTATAATTCTTCTCTTTGACTCTCCCATTTCTCACCCATCATTTATATGAGGAAGTTAAAGTGCCGTGTTCAAAACCAAATACTACATGTTAGCCCTCTAATCTCTTAAAAATAATATTTTTGTTGAAAGCAATTAAAAAAACTACAAACAAATAACTAATAGTTTATAGGATCAAAATATCTTATAAACTAATATGTATTATTAGTGTAAAAGAATTCTATATATATTCGTTACCCCATAATTATTAAAATGTCATATACACTAATTTGTATTATTATTAGTGTAAAAGAATTCTATATACATTCGTTGCCTCAAAATTAGGGTGCCAAATATTGGCTTTTTTTTTTCCTTAAAAAAGACAAGTTATGTTAATGTCCACACCTATGAAACTCTGAAAAAAAATCCCGTTAAAAGGACGTGGGACTAGGGATAGCAAACAAATTCGGACTTGTCCGGATTCGCTCTGAAATTAATAAAGAAAATCTAATTTAATTAGGTGAGGGTAGAGCTGAAAATGAGTCGAGTCGAGTCGAACTCGGCTTGACTCGTTAATAATTGGTTCACCTCAAATTTCGGTTCGAGTTTGACACGAACTTTTCTTTAAGTTCAAACTCGACTCGTTAAAAGTTCACGAACTATTCAGTTTATCTTGTTAGGTTCATTTCATTAGGTTCAACTCACTTACTTCACGAAATTAAAAGTTTTTTTTTAAGTCTATTTTATTTTTATATATTTGACATTTTAAATTAATATTTTTTTAAAAAGAAGATATTGAGATAAAATAAAAGTTATGAGTATGAAATTTAACTTTGTTTAAAAAATCTACTAATTCAAAAACTACACAACTTTCAAGAGACACATTTGAAAGTATAATTCAAAAAAGCACTCAAATAACTTCATCAAATATTTAGGAAACTTACAAATTTAATGAAATAGTATAAAAAAATACTAGAAATTGATACATTTTCATCACACAAAAATTACACCACTTGCAACCTTCATTGCACATGTTATTTTACTCAATGTCATAATGTCTCTAACAAGAACGATTCTAAATGCAATTGTCATCTTTATTTCCATAACTAGTATATAAGGGACAATATAAGGGTAAAATTTGGAGTAAATCTTTAAACATACTCTTAAAGATAATATAATCATTCTTATATATAATTGAGTTGACTCATGAACCTAACGAGTTGAACTATGTATAGTTCAAGTTCAACTCATTTAGTTAACGAACATAGTTTTTCACTCATATTCAACTCATTTGATTCATGAACATAGTTCAACGATTTAATTATCGAATCGAGTTTCAAACTATTTTTGAGTTGGTTCGGTTCATTGTCAGCCCTAGGTGAGGGTGTCGAAAAAACCCGATTCTTAACTACGGGTGCGAGGGCGAGAAGACACTATGACCCGCCAACACCCGCCTCCGTCCCACCCCCGTATAATGTATTTTACTTTAATTCTTTTATTTTATTTATTTTAATATTTATTAATTAATTATATTTTTAATTATATTATTAATACCCTTATTGCAATTAAAATAATTAAATTAATTAAGTTAATATTTATTTACTAATTAATTTTTTAATTAAATTATTTATTACAACTAAAAAAAAATTAATTTTTTGTGGTGAGGGTTGGGCGGATGCTAGTGCACCCGTTCTCCACTATGGGCGAATTTGGACGGTAAATTTTTACTTCCGGTTAGATTTAGGGGTGGGGGCGAATGTGTTACATGGAGGCGGGTGCGGGTGCGGGTACAATTAAACTCGCTCTCGCCCCGCCCCGTTGTCATCCCTATGCAGGACTAAAATATTAGTTTATTCTTTAAAAAAATGCTACTAAAACAAACATATCTGATTGGTCAGGCCTATTTTATCACTTCTACCTAAAATTAAAACAGTATAGTTTAGAAATACAATTTAATATTAATAATATTTTATTATTATTATTTATGTATGTGGAGATAAAATGTAATATATGATTAATAAAAAAATTACATGATATTTCATTACTTTTTAGACTTACTAAAAATAAAAATGTGTATCAACCTTTAGTGATTAATGGATGCTAGAGGCTTTAAGGTGCTACGGGATTAAGAGCTAGTTCACGTGAGCAGAGAAGTTCTTATATCAGCGTCTTTTATTATGTTGTAGTTTGTTTTAAGTAACACCAAACTAATGAATTTACAGTTTTAGGGGTCATGAACCGAGTCTTTCTAGGATGTGTTAGCCACCTCAGAAGTAGGTGATTGATTCTTTGAAATATAAGAAGTTTAGTTGGATCCCACGAATTTCTCGTAACGCATGTTTACCCAATACCCATTTTGCACACAATCGCGTGTTATGGACGGAGACACTAAGGGTATGGGCGACATATTTGCACAAAAGGCGCCTTACAGTTGGTCATCGCGTCGCGATAACATGTAACGCGCGCGCGCGAAGGAGCGCGACCATAACTTATAAGTTCTCACTTTTGGCAATTTCATCTATACACTTTCTAATTTCTACTCTATCTCCTGCTCATTTTCTTTTCAAATGTTATTTTTGTTATGTGAGATTGTCCAGATGACACCCAAAAGAATCTGACAAACTTAAACTTATTCATCATCCAACCCACCTACACCAGACGCCTCAACGTTTCTAACATATATGTTTGCTTCTGAAAAACATCAAGAAAAGTTCCTCAAAGTTAGAAACTACAATGTAGTAAAGGATAGAGCTTTTGAAGTTGACAACTTGGAAGGATACAAGAAGTTGGTTGATATGTTAGAAGAAAGTAGCTACAATAAATTCAATAGCTTGATCCAAGAGACCAACCAATCTATTGGGCTCAAGTTTTATGCAAATGTGACTTACCGTCAGTTCCAGAATTACACGTCATGTGTGAGAGGTAAGATCATTAAATTTATCCCTGCTAGAGTAAATTTTATTATTCATCTTCAAACTTCTCCTAGGTGTGGTGTTCAAAATAGGAGACAAGTTGCTTTATTTGAGAGAATGGGGGAAACAAAGTTGAAATTTTTTTGTCAGCCTGGGTCTTAGAGGGTATTACTAATGGGAAAATATTGAGGTTGCGCATTAGGGATATACACCCAATACCTATAACTTGGACATCCTTTATTGTCCAAATTTTAAAAGGTCGCTTCCAACCAAATCAGATTCAGAGTGAAGAGGTGTCACACTCTGATGGTTATTTTGAACAATGAACCTATTAATGTTCGATTATTGATTGCAGATAACATCAAATATATGGTCCACGTGCCACAAATAACTTGTGGACATTTGTGTTTATTAATGAATTGTGCAAGTGTTTATCGGTATTTTTGATAAACAATCATGAGTTTGAAAGTCTATGAGATTAACTCGAAAAATTTCCAAAGCAATTTCTGCAAATAGTTTGTGTGAACACACATACGTGTGAATTGAATGCACCATAGTAAAAGACTTTAAATGAAGTCCAGTTGTGACAAATGATAAGGTAAAACGCAGTAAATAAAATTAAATAAAGTAAAAGAAAAAGTACAATGTTTCGTTTACGGAAGTAAAAAAGACTAAGATAATAGTGTGGACGCCGACACATACATGTTTCTCACTCAATTGTTTCGCTCTTTGACTTGGGTACTCTAGTGGTATAGAGAGTATGTATGAAATTTTGCGACCCCTGGTCTCATGTATGATTCTGTTATTTATTCTATTTACAAAATAATCGTCGACGGTGGTTATGACCATTTGAAGAATAATTACATTTGCTTCACGTTCAATCCTTCAAACTTTCACTAGTGCGTTTACGTGTCTTCAATATGTTATCTTCTTACAACCCACGTTGAGTGGTAACTACTTTTCTACTTCTTCACAATCTCTTAACGATAACTGCTCCAAACATGCCATTGACGATGCTTATCAATGCCTCAAGACATAAATGTACTTATGTCCTTAATACCAGGTCGTTCGATCAACCAATTCTTTTTGGTATAAGGGCTTCTGTGAATGCCCTTCTCGAGATTCTGGACATGTTTCTATCGACTAACCTTTTAGAGATTTTGAACTCATTTCCCAGTGAGCTGGGTAATGGGGATTCATCCCTGTGAATCCTATAAACCATGTCTTGTTGTATTGACAGTTTAGTCGAAACCTCGTAGATTCCTTGTCATTAATGCTTCTTTAAAGATACTTCATTAATGTTCATAGTAAACGTTTTTTCATTGTCATTCTTTGTTGACTTTCTAGTAGATGAAAATATAAATGTAATAGATGCCCCCCAAAAAACATCATTGTC